ATTACAACTGCTCTCCAGATGGCAGAGATCAGTTCCCCTGGAGAGAAAATGGTGGACTCTGGCAGTCAGGGCTTCAGAGCATGGGAGAGGCTGCAGGTATGTGTGTGGGGGGAAATGGAAAGTTGAAGAGAGAGGGGGAAATAAAGGTCAGTTGATGATTGGCTGGGAAGGAGATAGGATTGCCAACTCCAGGTGGGAAATTCCTGGAGATTTGAGGGATGGAACCTGGAGAGGGTGAGGTTTGAGGAGGGGTGGGACCTCAGACTGGTACAATGTCATAGACTCCACCCTCCCAACCAGCCATTACCTTCTGGGGAACCACTGTTCCCAATCTCAGAGGTGGAAATCACTCAGAATTACAACTGATCTCCAGGAGGGAGGGGGGAGGAGATGCAAAGCTGAAATCAGAGGGGCAGATAATGGCAGGTTGATGCTTGGCTGGGAAGAAGATAGAGTTGCCACCTCTGGGAAATTCATGGAGATTTGAGGGGTGGCGCCTGGAGAGGGTGAGGTTTGAGGAGGGTGGGGCCTCAGACAGGTACAATGCCATAGTCTCCACCCGCCAGACCAGTCATTTCCTCCTGTGTAACAATTGTTGCCAATCTTCAGGTGAGGGCTGGAGATCACTCAAAATTACAACTGTTCTTCAGGTAGCAGAGATCAGTTCCTCTGGAGAAAATGGTGGACTCTGTGTCATTATACCCTGCTGTGGTCGCCACAGCACATTGATGCTGAGTGCCCAAGGCCTTGGCACTCTCTCAGAGCCTCTTTCTAGAGCTCGTTGTATTTATTTCCACAACGGACCTTATTCCTAGTAGCAAAATAAAACAAAAGTCCAGTGGCAGCTTAAAGACTAACAACATTTATTTCAATATGAGCTTTCATGAATCACAGCTCACTTCTTCAGATGTATGAAACGAAATTATATCTGGAATCTTAGTTACAGGGAAAATGAGTTTGGGGTGAAAGTGAAGAGTGAATTCTGCCATGAATCTTTCAAATGTAGATGGGGGGGGGGATAGAAAGGCTAGGTGTGAATCCTGTCATAACACTTCAATGTTAAGCCAGTGACTCTCAGAGACAGAAATCAAATTGTGACAGTTTGCAAACTGAGTTGTATGCTCTAGGTTATACCAATAAAGGTAGATTGATTGATTGATTGAAATTGTGACAGACCAAAACAGCAGTATGAAATTAAACCACACAAACAGCTAAGGTCCAACCAGAGAGGATAGGATGAAATAATTAATAGTTGCTGTAAAAATAGGTAGCAGGAAAATACTGGGTGTGGGGAAAGCCCAAAAACATACCAGCACCTGAAAGAACCATCTAAACTAAACATCAGTCATGAAGATATGTGTTGGGTTGAGGAAAACTACAAGAGGAGGCAGGAGAAGAACTACTGAACTACTATCTGAACTATCTATCTGAGCTACTATGCACAAGTTCAGGGAGAAAAGCAATCTCAATGGACACATTGCCCTCCACGTCTGATACCACTGGGGTTCTCAGTGCAACCCTAAGCAGAGTTATTCAGTGGACTTACAACAATGTAACTATGCTTAGGACTGCACAGCCAAACCCGTGAACAGATACAGCCATGAAATTATCTTTACCTTTCCTAATCTGTCATTTTCTCCACTGTCTAAATATCAATTGTAAGCTCCCTGGGGCAGGGATCTGTCCTTTTCACCGGTCAGCAATGTGCTACAATGATAAGAATACAAGTATGCTCAATTTAATATACTGCTGAATGAATAACCCACAAAGTAAGTTTCTCTCACCTGTAACATGGGCAAGTTACCAGGAAGGCTCTCTGCCTGGGGGGGAAAAAAAGTCTTTCCCCCTCACTCTTCCAGAAAGCTGGAATTCAGGGGGTACCCACAGTGCAATGCTAAGGAGAGCTATACACTTCTAAGATGGATTCCGGTGGGGTAGCCATGTTGGTCTGAAGCAACAGAACAAAGTTTGAGTCCAGTGGCACCTTTAAGTCCAGCAAAGTTTAATTCTGGGTATAAGCTTTCATGTGCATGTAAAGCTTATACCCAGAATTAAACTTCGTTGGTCTTAAGGGTGCCACTGGACTCAAACTTTGTTCTATATACTTCTAAGACCATGGACTTTAGATGGGTAAACTCTGGCTGGGGTGCCACTGCCAATGAAGCCAGCAGATTCAGGACAGACATACCACACATAAGGAAAATCGCAGTATATCCCATGAAGACTTTTTGCAGCACACAAACTGACTGAAGTCTTCCCTGTTCTCAGAAGATTCACTCTCTCACCTGTGTTCAAGTGCCATCACCAGAAACCCACGAGAAGCCATTTCAGCACAGATAGAAGAGTAAACAGTTCTGAAAATCAAAGGGTGGAAAAGACAGAAAGAACATCAAATCATTCCTGCAATTCCTCTGGTGGGGGAGGGGGGGCTGTGTTTGGGTCATGCTGGCAGCTTTCCAAAAACTGATTAATAGGCTACCATTAATCATAACCGTGTCATCTCTTTCTATTAGGGCCGACCAAAATGACAAACTATTGTGCAGTCTTTCAAGTACAACTGTTCACAGTGTTTTATCATTACGCATGCCTTTAGCCCTTCCAAATCCCTCCTTAGAACCCATTTTTTCCTGTATAGCCTTTGGCTTGTCCCTTGACATGCTCCAATGAGGTGGCTGACTCAGGCGGTAGATTTATGGGGGCAGCAACCTCGTTCCCTTGCCCTTGCTTCGTCACACCCCGTCACTCCTGCAACCTAAAACTGTTGTTGGGCAGCTGGTCTGACTCTAAACTGGAAGATCTGGACCTGGCGTTACAAGCCGTGGCTAGGTGACTTAGGCTGAGCCGACTGAAATTGAATCCGACGAAGATGGAGGTCCTGTGTCTGAGCAGCCCAAGGTTAGGGATGCTGCTCCCGACCTTCAATGGGGCGCCATTGGTGCCAGCATCAGAGGTTAGGAGTTTGGGAGTGCTCCTGGATGCCTCCTTAACGATGGAGGCCCAGGTAGCAGCCACTACCAAGTCGGCCTTCTACCATCTTAGGCTGATTAGGCAGCTGGTTCCCTTTTTTTGAATATGATGACCTGGCAACGGTGATCCATGCAATGGTCACCTTGAGGCTAGACTACTGCAATGCTCTCTACATGGGGCTGCCCTTATCCCAAATCTGGAAGCTACAGCTAGTGCAGGACATGCCAGCCAGGCTGTTATTGGGCCTCCCTCTTAGAAAGTACATTCAGCCTGCACTGAAAGCCCTGCACTGACTACCTATAGCATACCGGATTCGCTTCAAAGTGCTGGTCGTTACCTTTAAAGCCCTACATGGCCAGGGTCGGTCCAGCATACCTGAGGGACCGCCTTTCCCCACATGTTCCCCAGAGAGTACTGCAGTCAGGTTCGCAAAACCCTCTTGTTCTCCCTGGCATGAAAGATGCCAAGCTGGCCTCAACTAGGGCTAAGGCCTTTTCTGTGGCTGGAATGAACTCCTGGAAGACATCAGGGCCCTGCGGGACTTATTAAAATTCTGCAGGGCCTGTAACATGGAGCTCTTCCGCCAAGCGTTCAGGTAAGAGGCCACACCTAATGGCCTACCATCAAGCCATGAAATCTATCTTTTCAAATTACTTTGGCCACCTGTTTAATATCTATGCCCTCTTACTACAGAACAAAACGCTAAAGAACTAGATGCCAGTCGCTGTTTTCTCTTATGGTGGTCAATTGGACAACTTTGCCATCTTACGTAAGTTGTATTTTAAACGATCTGAATTGTTTTTAATTTGTTTTAATAGTTTTATTGTTTTTTTTAATTTATTAAGCCAATATGGCCTTGTTAGCCGCCCTGAGCCTGCCTTGGTGGCGAGGGCGAGATATAAATCAAAGAAAGAAAGAAAGAAAGCTACAACCTCCAGCACCCCTTAACTTTCATTACTAAATTTTAGGCACAGATAACTTTGGCCCGTTCCCATTAATCCCTCCCTATCCTGGAGTCCCTTTCTTCTCTCTTTTCTGCTCCTCTTGTTGCCTTTTTTAAACTGCATGTTCCTTGCCAGCAGCAAGGCTCTTTTTGTAGAAAAAGTCCAGCAGGAACTCCTTAGCATAATAGACCACACCCAACAGCAGAAACTCATAAGCTTATTAGGCCACACCCCTGACAACACAACTCATTAGCATATTAGGCCGCACCCCCATGTTACCAGAAATGTGCTCATCCAGCCACACCCACCTTTTGCTTGTTATTCTGTTTACCTTGTTTGTTGTCAAAACCCAGGGCTTTTCTTGTAGCAGGAACTCCTTTGCATGTTAGGCCACACACCCCTAACGTAGCCAATCCTAATGAGTTTCTGCCGTTGGGTGTGGCCTATTATGCTAATTAGTTCATGCTGGGGGTGGCCAACTCGGGAGCCAGCCGGAACGCCGTTCCTGTGCGTTCCTGCCCAAAAATAGCCCTGGCCAGCAGGAAACCCACGGATATCATTACATTACCACTTCAAAATATATTATGGCATCTGCACACTAAGCCACTCTAGAGGATACTTATCCTTCGGCGCTGTTTAAATGAGCTCATAAGGATTTGGGGGAGGGGGGCTGGATGGCTGAGAGGATTTCTAACAGGATTTGGGATCTCTCACCTCCAAGGCAGCCATTAAACAGGTCTCGAAACAGATGGCCATTCTTAATCAAAGGGACTGCCCACAAATGGCCATCTCATTGAGGGTGCCCGTTGCAGGCACTTTACAGCAGAAAAGCCATGGCAAATTTATCCCACTAGCAGAGGCGCCCTCCTCCAGCAGAAGGAGCATCCCACTCTTTCTTCCACAGGTGGAAAGCACCTCCACCCATGGCACAGATCTGCAGGATTTGACTGCGTGTCCAGGTACATTCTGCACCACACCGTCCCCTCTCCCATTCAAACCTCAGACCCAGGGAGAGCCAAGCGCTGCAATGTGAGTCACACATTAAGCAAATCTGCATGTTTTCCCATCATTTATGCATCAAGGAGTAACACGCTTCCGCCGTTGCACAGATGAAAACAAGAACATGTATGTGACACTCCCTACACCCAAACCAAGATCCTCCAAAAGCTCGGGATGGTATACACGGCTCTCCATTTACCATGTTATCCTCACAACAACACCGTGAGATAAATTGAGACTGTGAGATTGGACCAAGGTCACCTGACGAGTTTCTCGGCCGTGTGGGGATTCTCACTTAACCTCAGACTTTTTCCTCTGGAGAGATGCTGCCAGTCACACTGACTGTCTAGGGCTAAAGGAACTGCTGGCCTGCCTTAGTTACGAGGCGGCTTCTTATACTTTCATGTGAAGGGTACACAACAGGACTACTGAGTGCAGAACTGTCCTCCAATGTCAAGCCATCTCAGCTTTAGAAGTTTCCAGCCCTTGTGAACCACTTAGGCTGTGCGTGCATGTCTAGTTGTTTTTCCAGATGGCCCCTCTCTTTCCACCCCGCCCACATAGAAGAAAGTTTTCCCTATATGCAGAAGATTTTTATTATATCAGTCTTCTGCAATCAGGGCAAGACACTTACCGGAAGGCTCCTAGCCCATGTGAGAATATGATCAAGGGGTACTTGTTGTTGCTTGATTTCATAGGGGCGTCCCAGCTCACAGGGATTCGACATGACCCTGCGGAAAACAAAATGACACATGACACTAGGACAAGGCCAGCTGTTCAGGGCTAACGCTTTGCCTCTTGGTTCTTATGGGATTGCAACATTTTCTAAAGAAAAGAGCCCTCATTTCTCTTATTTGTTCTTTGTGGTTTCTTCAGAATGAGTTCAGAGTTATGGGCACCCCCTTTGGTATTCTCCAGGCAGTGCAGGAGAGTGGAGTAGAATTCTGGTGTTTTGACATTTCCTCAAGGTTCCAGTCCCTAAGGTTTTTAAGCAAAAACATCTGGTGGAACATGCATACAATGTCCCCGTACTAAGAAGCCCTGGCAGCTGGAAACTCTCTTACCAAAGGTCATGCTGAGCAACGGGGCGCACCATTTCCGGTTCATGTTCATGTAGTCAGCTAGTCCACAGTAATATTCATAGCGGGGGATCCAGGAGGGCTGTTCTGCCCCCTCTTGTGAAATGCAGGGATAGAACAAGCGGAAGAAGAGACCCTGAGGAGGAGAAAAAGACAAGCTGCAGCACAGACACAACACTTGTGGCATGCATTACCCTGTGCTTTGCACATCTCACATGCAGGGTGCATGTGTGTATGCGTGCATACTAACTGAATTGGTATGTGTGAGAGACAGAAGCTTAATTAAACCTTACTTGAACACACACACACACACACGAAGCTGCCTTATACTGAATTAAGCCATTGGTCCGTCAAGGTCAGTATTGCCTACTCAGTCTGGCAGCAGTTTTCCAGGCTTTCAGGCAAAGGTCTTTCACATCACCTACTGCTTGGTCCTTTTTAAGTGGAAATGCCAGAGACTGAACCTGGGACTTTCTGCATGCAAAGCAGAGGCTCTTTCACTGAGCCACAGCCCTTCCCCATACTTCTCTGTTTGTTTTATGAATTCTGACGTCAGAAACTGCATCTAACTCTTGGTTTGTTTACCTGCACCGTCTTCTTGTAAGAGGTACATTTGTATTGTTATTGGCATTATGTTATTCTATGCATATAATATATCTATGTATTTACTTTAAGACAATGGCTGGATCCTGCCTAAAATATCACGGGCACAGGGAGGAGGATGGGTAATTTCTTCCGAATCAGATCCCTAGGCTACATCCACTCATTGCTCTACTGTAATCCCTTTTCAGATGGTTATGTGTCACTACATGTATGTGAATAATGTGCTACATGTGATTCCCCCCAATATATGCAATTGCTATTTAGTCTGAAAATCTGGTTTGCCTGTACCAAGGATGAAAGTACATGGGCTTCCCCTTCCAGACTACATGGTGACCACTCATATCAGGAGGCCCATACAACAGCCCTTTTCAGTTGTTGATTTTCACCAACATGGGCTGCGGTCACACGGAACATTAGCCAGGCCAGAGAGACGGAAGATAGGTGGATTTTCCGGGCGCGATCTCACCTGCACATCTGGGAAGTGTAGCGCTCCCGTGGCTCAACCGAGGCTTCCCGCCGAAGACGCGCGGCAAAAAAACTAGTACCTCGGAGGTACTAGTTTCCGGAAACCTGTGAAGTTGCCTTCTACCAAGTCAGATGCTGGGTCTTTTCTACTCTGATTGGCTCTCCAGGATCTCAAGTGGAAGTCTTTCAACTTACTACCTGCTCTATTGAACTGGCGATGCTGGGTATTAAACCTGGGACCTTCTGCAGGCAAAGCGGATGTTCTGTCTCTCAGCCACATCCCCCCTTCTTTCTAATACAAAGCTGGCAGGGAGAAGACTCTCTCTGAGAGTTGAACTGGGGACCTTCTGGTTAATACCTCAGTCTCAAGTCATTATGGTACAAACCCTATTTGTGAACTCTGTCCAGCAACAAAACAGACGAATGAACACACACACACACACACACACACACACACACACACACACACACTGGCTCTTTATTCACACCAGTTGTGACGTGGGTATGTAGTGCATGTCTCCTGATCATTGCTTGTGCAAACTGTTCTGGTCCACACATCTGTCTGATCTGGTTTTCCCAGCTGACAGATTGGCCAGGGGACAACACAAATCACAAGCTAAAAAACAAACAAACCACTCGCTTGGGAAGAAGCTCCAGCTAACTCAGCAAAACTTACTGCTGAGGAAGCCCACACAGGCGGGCCTTTTACTGGGGATGAAACTCCACTGGATCCCACAGGAACTGCTGTCAAAGTAAACATGCTGGGAGGCATCCAGCTAGAGGGGGTGCTTTCAGACAGACCAGTTTCCCTGCAGTGCCACAGGAAGGGGCAGTCACTTACAAGAGCTAAACTACATCAACATTCAGATCAAGGGATCAATTAAGAGACTGTACCAGATTTGTGCCACTGAAACCATACCATTTTCAGCATTAATGTTAACTGACATGTTGATTAATAATCAGGAGCATTAATGTTAACTGACATGTTGATTAATAATCAGGAGCCTGAGCAGCCCTTGTGGCCCTACAAGCCAGGGCTGCAGGGACCGCTCAGCGGAGCAGTTCCGGTGATGGGCATTAACTCATCCATGGCTTCCTCTGTCAAACTGAGAGCAGTAAAGAAGGCAGTGGGTGAGCTGACACCAATTACTACTGCTGATGATCAGAGCAAAGTGGTCCCCAGGCTGCTGGCAGACTTGTTTGTACACCTGTTCACCAGTGGCCCTTTAGGTCAGTGGCCCACTGGGAAATTTCCCTGTCAGTTAAATGGTCAGCCTGCCCCAATAGTAACCCATAAAGTTTCTGCAGCCCAAATACTGGCTGTTTTTGCGAGTCTTATTAGGAAATGCCTCACACATGGTCAATAAATCATAAATACACACAGGAGCAACCTGTGCGATTGCTTTAGTGTACTGGCATCAGCCTGCATCTTTTACACTTGGATTCCTGGCAGCTGTTCCCTATATTATGTCCCTTTCTGCAAAACACCTCTAAGAAGCCTTTTAGTTCCATGCAAAATCTTTTCCTGTCATTTCATTCACATATTGGAACCTTAAATATCAACAAAAATTTATTCCAGCGGCATTTGGAATGACTGACCTACCTCATAGTACTGTTGTGAAGATAACATGGGGAAGGGAGAGCCATCCAAGCTACATAAAAAGTTAGCTTGAAATATCTATCTAGCAGAATATTATCCTGTCATTTCTCCAAAGAGCCCAGAGTATTATACATGATTTGCCCTTCCCCACTGTATCTTAGTATTAACCCTATGAAGGAGGTAAGGCTGAGAGGATACTACTAGTCCAAGACTAATCCAAAATACACAAGTGAGTCTTATGACTCAAGTGAAGATTTGAACTGAGCCTCCCTGATCTGAGCCCAGCACTCTAACCTCTACACCACACCAGCAGATTCATGACATTTGTCTTCATCTTCATCTACACTAGTAACATGGAACTGCGGTGGCTCAAGTGGTTAAGACGTTGAACTGCAGACTGTGGAAGGTCGGTAGTTCAGCAGTTCGAGACCCGGGTGCTGCATGACGGAGTGAGCTCCCGTTTCTAGTTCCAGCTCCTGCCAACCTAGCAGTTCGAAAGCAAGAAATTGCAAGTAGATAAATAGGTACCACTTCGGTGGGAAGGTAACAGTGTTTCGTGCGCCTTGGTGTTTAGTCATGCCGGCCACATGACCACAGAAACATCTTTGGACAGCGCTGGCTCTTCGGCTTTGAAACGGAGATGAGCACCGCAACCCTAGAGTCGGATTCGACTGGCTTTCGAGCAAGGGAACCTTTACCTTTACACTAGTAACACAACAAGTGGTTGTAGCAAAGAAACTGTGGTTCCCTAGGGAGCTGCTGCCAGAAAGAAAACTCAAACCAGGGACTTTCTGGCTGAGGCCTACCCTCTGAGCCCTTACAGGACACAACCTTCGCCACCAGCTTCCCGGGAGCAAGAACTCCCAGACAGAAGGCCCATCTCTCTTTACCGATCCTCCTGGAGCTCCTCCACCCCGTTCCAAGTTCACACCACCCCTTCCCACGGGATGGCTGTAACAGCACTGTACCTTTGGGCTCTGTCCCACCATCACATCCGTGCAGCCGACGGCGTGTGGCCCCTTCCCATGGGGCAGACCTAAGGAGTAGGTCACCCCCATCTCCTCTCCTTCCGCTGCAGAGTCTGGAATCCAAGGCACAGCTTGCAAAAGAGCTGCTTCAAGACGCGTAAGAAAAGAGGGACGTCGTCAGTTTCACTTCCTCCTTGGGCTCCTCTTGCGCAAAGCAACCTTTGTCTCAGGAAGCTGGGATCTGCGCACTCCTCCGGCCATTGGTGCTGTCGACTTTGTTCGGGTGCTGGGGGAGGAGTTAGGCCGGAGCTGCGAGAAAGTTTTTGCAAGGGAAGAAAAACGGTTAGCTCAGCTTCCTTAACATTACACCAATGGTATGTGAAAGTGTGGGAACACTATACTTTAGAAAAAATAACGACATCAATGCCAACTGCTAACAGCTTTCAAAAACAATCTTTGTTTTATTCCAAATGGGTAGATTTCATAGAAGTAGCACTCTCAAAATCTATTATTCCAGTCTCCACTATACCACAGAGATATAAGGAAATAATTGCCATATTTTAACTCACCTGAAAACCTATAACAATATATAATAATTGGTTTAATGATAGTTTGTTTTAGTTATGTAGAAAAGTTATAATTGTTGTTGTAATTGTTTTTAATTTTTATGAATACTATTATAAAATAAGATTATTCATATGTAACATTCGAAAATCAATGTTATATTATAGATATTTATTATCATGCTTGTATTTATATGTTTATTATATTATTGACAACTATAAATAAAAATTAAAAAGGGGGGGGGAGAAAAACAAAACACTTCAGTGGGTGGCGGGGAGGTCTAAGCTGAGGCCGTAGAGGTGCTTCCAGACATCTCAGTGCCGGTTACCTAAGGCTCATTCGTTGCACACATTTCACAGAAATCAGAGCATGCTTTTTAAAAAGTGGGCTGCTGTGCCCTATCAAAATCCATCCCTCTGCCGCCATGCAATACTTTTATAAACACCAAACAAGACAACAGAACAAAGTTCCGTGGCTCCTTTAAGACCAACAAAGTTTTATTCACGGTATAAGCTTTCGTACTTCTTCCAATCACAAACAGATGGTGCAGGATTACACCTTCTCCAGAACTCTTCATCCAGTTGGATGTTGGGGGAGGGGAGAAAAACACACCTTTTGGGCCAGGGTATTAAGAACCAAAGTTCCTTAGCTGACTTCAATGGACACAGGAGGGGAGGATTTTTGCTTCTGCCCAACCTCTTTAACTACATCGTGTGTCCCCTTTCCCCTTTACAGACAATATCTTTGCTGGTCAGTGGTTGTTCTCTGTTTTTTTTTCTCCCAACGTTTCCCCTTGATGGGGAAAAACGATATAGTTAAGAAATGAAATTGGAGAAAAAACAGGGTGTGAAAATTATGTTGAGAAAAAACAGGGTGTGAAAAAACAGGGTGTGAAAATTATGTTTGGTGGTATCAGACTGTACCTCTGGTATGCTTGGAAGCAGCAGTAGAAACTAATTGATTACATTTCAAATGAAAGTGTTATGTATTAAGATGGCCGCGGCGGCACTAGCCAGGCCATATGGTCGAGCAGAACTTCGGTCCCTAAAACAATAGCCACTATGGATGTGCACACAAGTAAGGCTGCCCGGATTCTGATATAGACCTATCATAGACTGGGTCTTGTAAATACAGCCTATCACGGGAATTGGGTGTGTGTTGGGTGTGAGTGTGTTCATTAGGGTTGCCAACTGTGACTTACCTCACCGGCGGGGGACTCCTGGGGGCGCTCGCGGGGGTGCGCTTTGCGCGCGCACGCCGCATTCGCATCACAGGGCAATGATGTCATGACGCCGGGCACGCTGGGGGCGGGGCCATGACCATACAAGTGAAAACCATAGCGTGCCTGGCGTCATGACATCACTGCCCTGTGATGCGCACGCCGGGGCGGGGGTCCCCCCAGGCCCCGATTCCCCGGCGTCTGGGGCGGAGGATTTTCCGCCCCCCGGGGGGATTTGGCAGCCCTAGTGTTCATGCATATAAGCCGGCCTCAGACCAGCCAGTGTATCTTTAGTTCTGATGTAATCAATAAACTTGAGCTGATTTCACTGTGCTATGCCTGGAACTCCACTACATTATATAAAGCTTGTAATTCTATTGGCATTCCAAAGGTCACCCCTCAAGTCTCCTCTCCTTTCCTACTATTATACCTTTGCTGAATAGGATGCATATGTCCCATGCTAGTTCACCCTCCAGTAATTTCAGCATCAAGACAGTATTTGTTCTTTTGGTTAAAGAGAAAAGACTTCCCCTACAATATGCTACACATACACTACAAAGTATTCTTCCTAGCGTTGGAGGGATCCTCATAGGCCACTTAGTCTCATCCTCCCACCACTGTGAATGTAGGAAATCCAAAACCCAATGTTGCCAATCTCCAGGTGGAGCCTGTAGTTCTCCCAGAATTATCGCTGATCTCCAACTTACAGATATCAGTTCCTCTAGAGAAAATGGCTGCTTTGGAGGTCAGCCTGTATGGCATCAGGCCCTCACTAAGCTCCCCCCCCCTTCCCAAACACCACCATCCCCAGGTACCACCCCCAAATTCCAGGAATTTCTTAATTTGAAGTTGGCAACCCTAAGAGAGCACTTCTGACAGTTGGCTGTGCAGCCTCTGCTTGAAGAAAGAACCAGCTCGCCGTCCACCCAGCGGTTCGAAAGCTTTGGCGAGTAGATAAAATGGGTACCACTCCTTAGAGAGGGTGGGCACACTAAACCCCCCCGGTGGGGGGAGGTGTTAGCGAAATGGAATGTCCAGCTCGGAAGCTCGGAAGCCTGGAAAGATCTCCTCGGCATCAAGAAGCCTGCGATGGGCCGATCCGGCCAGGCGGTGGCAGTGTGGCGCTGGGACTTGAAGCAGTCCTGGAAAAAGCTGACGTCATCAAGCCAAGCCGAGTGAATGCCGTCTGGAACACATCTAAGCCTACAGCTGAACAAAATCCCCGTCGGCTGCAAAACATGTGTGACAAAAAAAAGATTTATATGTTGTCCTCCTTTACCCCTATGAATCATTGTTAGTCCCGTGTGAATATGTGTAACTGTAAATCTCTCAGAGCCAGCAGCTCTGCAGGATTGAGCGATTAATAAATCGAAAGATATTATTGTTGTTATTATTATTATTTCTGACTTATTTATTTATTATTTATTTGTTTGTTTTTTAGGCTGTCCTCCCCCCTTTGAGGCTCACAGCGGTGAACAACATTTCATTAGTACATTTAGAATCAGACTAGAACAGTTAAAAACAATAAAACCAATACAATTCCAAACTATTCCAGATGGCGCTTGAAGCCAATTTATATCCTACCCCATAGGGTGAAAAGAGATGGAGGAGGCCAGGCTCAATGATGAACCATTGCCTGGTGGAACGTCTCATCTCTAAGGTGCTGCCGGCCTCCTGTTTTACTTTGCTGCTACAAACTAACAGAGCCACCCATCTGGAACTGGTTCCAACAGAAGATGCCTCCTGAAATCTACCCACCCTCTCTCCTGTGATTTAAGCCCACATTATCTAGTCTAGCCCTGTGGAGCAGCAGAGAACTTTGCTGTCTTCCATGGGACAGCTGTTACGTGTCTCAAGAGTAAAATCCCGTCTCCCCCTCTTCTCCCAGCTAACCCTACCCAGTTCCTTCAACCTCTCTTCACTGGAATTGTATTCTAGACCTCAAACCTCCTTTGTTGTGCTCCTCTCAGCCCATCCCTATTTTTTTTTTTTAAGAGTGGTGCCCAGAACTGGACTCAGCAGCTGGAGGGGATGAGATGGCCAGCATGGTGCTTTAGCATTTGTATGCAGTACAGACAAGATACATTAATTTTCTTACTTCGAATACTAATGTAATGTACTGCCGCCATTACCACATGCAAGGCATTCAGCCTGACATGCCCGGACTTGCCCGGGCAGGCCAGGCACAATTTATCTGTAGCATCAGCCGAAAGACAAAGGATCCGAAGGATCCTAGCCGGTCCAATCAAAAGGGCTAGCTTCCCAGCCGGGAGACCAATGGTCGCCCGGTTACTGTAAATAGCCTGGTGGCGGGTTTTCTGAACGCATATAAACCGGCCTGCGAGATGGTTTCCTTTGTCTTCGTTCTGATCTAATAAAGTACTCTCTGCTGAATCACTCAACGTCTCGAGTACTTTTCAACTAACTTGTAGAGAAACTGGGAAGGAAACTGGGAACGGACAACAACAATTAAACAAGGCATCCACCGAAGGCAAAACAGGAATGAAGATAGGGGCAGCAGTTTAAGAGAAGCAACACATAGGAACCATCCTTGGCAAAAGCAGCACATTGCACTGGAACCTTTTTGGTCTTCCTCCAGGGCTGACCAATAGCAAATTTCCTTGTCTGTTCTTCTGGCATTCTGCTAACGGGAAGAACTACCCTCCTCCTTCTCCTTCTCCTCCAAGTCAGGCAATAAAAACCAATACAAACCTTATAGTTCAAAAGTCACCTTGCATTCCGTTTTCAACATTAGCTTATGCCAGGAAGCTCTTAAAGTATATCCTGCATGTCATCTAAGGTGGGCTGCTACTGCCCCCCTTTGGATGCACAGAGGTGAAATTGTGGGGACACCCAATAGGGATTTCCTAGGACATTTGCTGATTTTGTTATTTATTTATTTGCTTTCCATTTGTATCCCGCCTTACCGGTATGAACTGGCTCAAGGTGGCTTACACAGTTAAAATACAATAAAACCAATAAATACACTAAAATTACAATAAGAACAGTTACATAAAGTGCTGCTATAAACAGATGGCGGGAATTTCTGTACATGGTCCAATGGGGAAAGGCCATATCCGGCGTTGTTTCATAGGGCTATAAGATGTTCGATGTACAAAGGCTGTCAGTGGCGGCTCCTAATCGAAGGCCTGGTGGAAGAGCTCCGTTTTACAGGCCCTGCGGAACTGTAGAAGGTCCTGCAGGGCCCTGATGTCCTCCAGGAGCTCATTCCACCAGTGTGGAGCCGCCACTAAGAAAGCCCTGGCTCTAGTAATAGTCAGTCTGGCATCTTTTGGGCCAGGAAGGGTCAGGCGGTTTTGTGACCCTGACCTCAGTACTCTCTGGGGCACATATGGGGAAAGGTCAGGTAGACAGCCCCCTGACCATATAGGGCTTTAAAG